GTCAATCTAACAGCTTATCAGAGTCAAGCTATTGACATGTTAATTTAGCATGTGGCATAATTCCCATGTGATTTTGGTACAAAACCATGTGAACTTCACAATTTTCAAATGTGAAACATGTAAAATTTCATTTGAAAATTTCACATCTGAATTCGTAACAAAAAATGTGGACTTCACATGTATAAAACCACAAGTTTTCACATGTGACTTTAGAATATTTCCAACCTGATCATTTTTATTGCACATTGTCACATTTTCTCATGTGTGGAAAAACTTTTTTTTTCCCCGTAAAGAGCATTAATTACAATTTTATTGTTTTCCTGTTCAATAAGTAGTAATTTTTCATATCCAGCGTTCCTAACACAACATACTCAGGAGGTTATTTATTCTGCCTGAAGTTGATATTTTGTGGGAAACTGTTTCGTGTGTTTGGGAACTAAATATGAGACTACCCTGAAGCTCTGCGAGAAGAATAATGGACCTAATAAAGGATGAAGGCAGAAGATTTTCAGGAAGAGTAATTAGGGATGATGAGCAGAACACCAAGAGATGGAAGACAGAATTGTTTTACTGGACAGATCCACGTTTTTGCTCCTACATAAAAAACCCCGTGAACCTTTAGTTGTATGTAATTATAGCCGATAACTTGGTCTTGGTGCTGAGCACGGTGATGTTCTACCTGGAAGATGAAGCTAACTTTGCCTCTGCTCTTCAAGATTTGGTGATGAGTAAAAAGAAAACGAGTTTTATTGAAAGAGAAAACAATAAATGAAGAACGAGGACTGCAAATGAGGAAAACTAGAGGATCTTTAAGAATTCATTAACTGTTGATTTATTCCACACAGGCTACTTTTAAAACCTCGCTTTCACACTAAAGATCTTAATTAAAGTAGTTAAATATACCTTGGGGTTGGCGTGTTTGACCAGCCAGCCCCGAAGGATCGCCGCAGCCAGTGTCTGACAATTATTTGTAAAGTAATTACTCAAATGTTTAATTAAATGTAGTCCTGGCCTGCAGGAGAAGAATAAAGACCGTCTAGAACTGTTGGGTGGAAAGATGAGGAGCAACGCAAACACGTTGATTCAAAGGGCTGGGGGAATCCACGTCGCAATATTTTTTAATGCAAGTGTCGGAGTTCGAACCGCCAAGGGCTTCAACTTTTGTTTACAGATTAATTTAGAACAGAGGCATTATAAAATGTTTTAAATACGAGAGCTTTTATTATAGATGTGAGCGTAGATAAGTGGCACTCCTCTGATTTTACTGTTCCAACGAAACACTTAAAATCCTTCTGTAGAGCCTCAAGATCACTGTGAAGTACATGTTCCATTTATATATATATATATATATATATATATATATATATATATGTGTATATATATATGTATATATATGTGTGTGTATATATATATGTATATATATGTGTGTAT